ATGTGGGTTTTAGGCGAGTAACATTCCTAAACCGTTAAGACAATAAAATTTACGAGGGGTTGCGGGGGAGGCGAGGAGAACGAGGGAGAGTCAAGCAAGGGGAGAAGTGAGAAAGGACAAAAAGACGTTACGAAGACGAGAATATCATCATTCTATCAAAACGGTTATGACGGTTACGAACACTGGATTATTGTCATTTCTATTTCTCTATCTCAATAATTATCACTACAAATTTTGGGGGTTCGTCCGGGATATTGAGAAATTCATACGAGAACTTTTAGAAGTGCAATGGAGTCCAGACAAGATGGCGGAGTTAGTGACGCTGCGGTGAACGACAAAGAACTACGACTGACTGTTGTAACTAAGGACAATACGATGCCGGATGTGAAACATCTTAAGTGTGCTGATCTGAAAATCGAACTAGGACGACGAAAATTGAAAACCACGGGTAGCAAGAGAGAGTTGGTGCAAAGATTGGAGGCAGCACTTTTGATTGATAACGCCAGAGACAATGACGTGCAAAGCGACAATGATACTGACGAAAGTGAGGACGAAGATAGTAATATAATGCGCTATAAAAGTGAGTACGCTAAGCCAATGTTTACCTTCAGAGATGTTGATGAATCCCTTGAAACATTCAGTGGTGACGACGGAAAGAATGTTGTAAAATGGATCTCTAATTTTGAAGACATGGCAGAAATGTGTAATTGGAATGGCATGCAGAAAATAATTTACGCAAAACGACTACTCAGAGGTTCAGCAAGAATGTACGTGAACTACGAACAATGCACCAAATCATGGCAAGCATTAAAAGAAGCCCTTTGCGCTGAATTTGCTCCAAAACTGAACAGCAGGAAGAATCATAAGCAGCTGTCGATGGAAGTAAAGAATCAAAATGAGACTTACCAGGAATATATGTATCAGATGATTGAAATTTCGTCACAAATTACGATTGAGGACGAATCGGTAATACAATAGATCATCGATGGAATTCAGGATGAACAAGTAAGTAAGACAGTGCTGTATGGTGCTACTACTTTTAAAGAATTTCGACAAAAGCTGAGAATCTATGAAAACATGAGATCAAGTCATAAGCCAAGTGCTAAAATGACGGTGGGTTCTAAGAAGCTAGGGCGTGAGATTAAGCCTAATAATTCCTATGGAGATGAAAAACGTTATAACTGTGGCGGGAAAAACCACGTGAGTAAAAGTTGTCCAGAAAAAGACAAAGGAATGAAATGTTTTAGCTGTAATAATTTTGGTCATATTTCATCTAAATGCCCTCAAAATGTCGAGAAAAGAAGTTGTGAAGTAAAGGGAAAAGAAGTTAAAATAGGGGAAGCGGGCTTCACGGCACTTATAGATTCAGGAAGTGATATAAATTTGATGAGAGCCGATGATTACGTAAAGATGGGCGCACCAAAATTTACTGGAAATTCATTGGAATTTCATGGAGTAAGTGAGCGAAAGAGTTTTACACTTGGAAGTTTTTGGTCTGTAGTAAGTGTTGACAGAGACCAATTTTCAGTCCCCATACATGTAGTTCCTAGTTCATTCCTTGCTTATCAGTTGTTGTTGTGAGCCGACTTTCTAAAACAAGTTCATATTACTTTAAAAGGAGGCTGTGTTGAGAAAATTACCAAAGCAAAAGATGCAGAAGTATACGATATTAGAGAGGTTGCGCCGACGTTTTCAACGCGAAAACGTGTACGTCGGACGTTCAGCATCGCCTTCCTGTGAGTATAGAAGTTTGACAATGGCGTTTGGAACGTCAGTGGAATCATGCTCGACGTTCCAAACGCCATTGTCAAACTTCTATACTCACAGGAAGGCGATGCTGAACGTCCGACGTACACGTTTTCGCGTTGAAAACGTCGGCGCAACCTCTCTAATATCGTATACTTCTGCATCTTTTGCTTTGGTAATTTTCTCAACACAGCCTCCTTTTAAAGTAATATGAACTTGTTTTAGAAAGTCGGCTCACAACAACAACTGATAAGCAAGGAATGAACTAGGAACTACATGTATGGGGACTGAAAATTGGTCTCTGTCAACACTTACTACAGACCAAAAACTTCCAAGTGTAAAACTCTTTCGCTCACTTACTCCATGAAATTCCAATGAATTTCCAGTAAATTTTGGTGCGCCCATCTTTACGTAATCATCGGCTCTCATCAAATTTATATCACTTCCTGAATCTATAAGTGCCGTGAAGCCCGCTTCCCCTATTTTAACTTCTTTTCCCTTTACTTCACAACTTCTTTTCTCGACATTTTGAGGGCATTTAGATGAAATATGACCAAAATTATTACAGCTAAAACATTTCATTCCTTTGTCTTTTTCTGGACAACTTTTACTCACGTGGTTTTTCCCGCCACAGTTATAACGTTTTTCATCTCCATAGGAATTATTAGGCTTAATCTCACGCCCTAGCTTCTTAGAACCCACCGTCATTTTAGCACTTGGCTTATGACTTGATCTCATGTTTTCATAGATTCTCAGCTTTTGTCGAAATTCTTTAAAAGTAGTAGCACCATACAGCACTGTCTTACTTACTTGTTCATCCTGAATTCCATCGATGATCTATTGTATTACCGATTCGTCCTCAATCGTAATTTGTGACGAAATTTCAATCATCTGATACATATATTCCTGGTAAGTCTCATTTTGATTCTTTACTTCCATCGACAGCTGCTTATGATTCTTCCTGCTGTTCAGTTTTGGAGCAAATTCAGCGCAAAGGGCTTCTTTTAATGCTTGCCATGATTTGGTGCATTGTTCGTAGTTCACGTACATTCTTGCTGAACCTCTGAGTAGTCGTTTTGCGTAAATTATTTTCTGCATGCCATTCCAATTACACATTTCTGCCATGTCTTCAAAATTAGAGATCCATTTTACAACATTCTTTCCGTCGTCACCACTGAATGTTTCAAGGGATTCATCAACATCTCTGAAGGTAAACATTGGCTTAGCGTACTCACTTTTATAGCGCATTATATTACTATCTTCGTCCTCACTTTCGTCAGTATCATTGTCGCTTTGCACGTCATTGTCTCTGGCGTTATCAATCAAAAGTGCTGCCTCCAATCTTTGCACCAACTCTCTCTTGCTACCCGTGGTTTTCAATTTTCGTCGTCCTAGTTCGATTTTCAGATCAGCACACTTAAGATGTTTCACATCCGGCATCGTATTGTCCTTAGTTACAACAGTCAGTCGTAGTTCTTTGTCGTTCACCGCAGCGTCACTAACTCCGCCATCTTGTCTGGACTCCATTGCACTTCTAAAAGTTCTCGTATGAATTTCTCAATATCCCGGACGAACCCCCAAAATTTGTAGTGATAATTATTGAGATAGAGAAATAGAAATGACAATAATCCAGTGTTCGTAACCGTCATAACCGTTTTGATAGAATGATGATATTCTCGTCTTCGTAACGTCTTTTTGTCCTTTCTCACTTCTCCCCTTGCTTGACTCTCCCTCGTTCTCCTCGCCTCCCCCGCAACCCCTCGTAAATTTTATTGTCTTAACGGTTTAGGAATGTTACTCGCCTAAACCCCACATTCGGCCATCCTGACAGCTGACATCGTCCTCGATGTCCTCGTCTGACCGGTCGAATACTTCGTTAGTTGAACGGACCCACACTTTCATGTTGNTTGTCCTTTCTCACTTCTCCCCTTGCTTGACTCTCCCTCGTTCTCCTCGCCTCCCCCGCAACCCCTCGTAAATTTTATTGTCTTAACGGTTTAGGAATGTTACTCGCCTAAAACCCACATATATAACAGAGGAAAAGTGTAGCGCTCGGTCAAAAAATGATCCCTCCCAAATTTTTACATGTTTGGACTCGGGACACCTTGAAATTTCAAGATATGCAAAGATTCAAGGATTTTTTCTATGTGTGGATGTTAGACTGTGTGGGGGGCATGATTTCGTTCACCTCCACACATTCTGACCACACGATGATGTGTGGTCAGAGTGGTCAGAATACGAGTCGGATGGTTTAACACAGGAGTTAGTTATTTCAGTCAAAGTGGTTGAACTAAATCATGTCCCCATATACATTCTAACATCTTAAGCGAGAACATCTTAACGGGTTTTACTGTACTATTATAAAATGGCAAAAAAGCTTACTTTGAGGGNTAAATTTTATTGTCTTAACGGTTTAGGAATGTTACTCGCCTAAACCCCACATTCGGCCATCCTGACAGCTGACATCGTCCTCGATGTCCTCGTCTGACCGGTCGAATACTTCGTTAGTTGAACGGACCCACACTTTCATGTTGTCAGCAGACGTAGACGTTTGCATTGGCCCTTCGTGATCACCTACCTTCTCGACCAAATATCTGTCATTTCTTAAAACTTTTCTGATTTTGTACAGCCCTAAGAACTTTGGATGGATTTTTAAGCCGGGGCCGTAATGCATTCTCCTTATAGCTACTAGATCATCGACTAGGAATTTGTTGGGTCGTTTCCTTTTCTTGTTAAATGTTTTCCTGTTCTCCGCTTGCAGTTTCTTAATGTTTTCTTTTGCCGTTGCCCTAATTTCATCCCTTTCTTCCTCAAAGCACAAAATTTTTTCTTTCTCGATCAGTTCTCGTAGTTCGAGGTCCTCTTTTAAATGCATTTTGGTACCAAGCAACAACTCGAAGGCAGACCTATCAATACTTCGGTTATACGAGGAATTGAGATATCAATTAGAGATGCCACGAATATTCGGCTACTATTCGGTATTCAGCCGAATACCGAATCATGAAAAAAGCCGCACATATTACTCAAAAACGTATTTATTTTAATCATAAATTATTACATTTAATACTTAAAATCTATCAGTGGTAAGTTGTAATGAATGAAAGCAATTTTTTCAGCATTTGTTGATAGCAAACGATTGCGCTTTTCCTCAAACTATACCTGCTTCTGAAAATAGCCTCTCACTATATACACTACTGCTGGGAGACAATAGATAAATCTTAGCGAATTTTCTCAGGCTTGAATACTGTTTTGCGTTTGCTGACCACCACTTGTAAAGGTCTGCTGTCCGATCTAGGCGAACAGTTTTCATATAAAGTGATACTAATTATTACTAAAAAATATCACTGTAACGCAATTTGATGTAACAATGAACAAATAATGCATGTTGTGACATGATCTACTCGCAAATAAAACAAATGTGTTCGCAGTATCGCTACCGCACCCATCGCAATGTATCAGGTCGTAACATATCACCCGCGAAATGTACACATATTTTGTCGAACATCGGCGCTTCGGCCAAGAGCGTAGCCAAATGTTTGGTATTCGGTATTCGGCAAAATCACTATTCGTGGCATCACTAATATCAATATTTCATTGCCAGATCAACATGCTTATACCATTCTTCGGGCTTTGGCTTTGGCACAGACAGTTTAGCAAGCAACGACATGATGACTTGATGCAATCTCTCCACCTGTCCATTGGCTCTCGGAACGCCTGTAGTAATTCGAATATGCTCGATGTTTTCTTGCTCGCAATAATCTTTAAAGGCACTTGACGTAAATGTTGATCCACGGTCGGACACGATTCACTTAGGGTTACCAAATACAACCGCCTATTTTTCCAATCGACTTATAACTTCCTCTGCTCCTGTTGATTTAGTGGGATAGAGCCACAGAAACTTGGTGAAGGCATCCGTAACTGCAAATATGTACTGATAACGCTTCTTAGTTGGTGTTAAATGACCCAGATGATCAATGTGATAAGTATCAAAAGGTCGATCACCATTGTCAAGTGGATTCAAAAATCCTTCTGATTTTCCCCTTTTCCTTTCTGCTATGATACAGTTTATGCAATTTCTTACGATTTTTTCGATTTTACTCTTCATATTTTTGAACCAATAGTCCCTTTTCAGTAGTGCTTCGGTTTTCTTAACGGCAAAGTGACCTTGTTTGTGCGCATCTCTGATGATATCGGCTTGCATCTGTAAAGGAACCACTATTAACAACTACCCATCTACTTCCTTGTACAGAATCTCGCTTTTTACTTCATAATAGTTTGCCTTTTCCATATCTATCTTATTAATTATCTCCATTAATTCATTATCTTCTTTTTGTGCGTTTCTGAGTCTAGCTATGACACTATCTTTGTTTTCTTCGATCAACATTACGTCAGCGGTAGGATAGCGACTTAGATCATCTACATGCCTCATTTTAGTTCCAGATCGGTGCTCAACTGTATAATGAAATTCCTCTAACAAGAGTGCCCACCTGGCAACTCTGACACATAGATCTTTCTTCTTCATCGTCATCTCGAACACTTTACAGTCTGTCACTATTTTGAAGGGCATCCAAGTAGGTATATTCGAAACTTTTTTAAAGCCGTTACAATAGCCAACACTTCCAGATCATAACTATGGTATTTTTCTTCAGCCGGAGTAGTCTTACCACTAGCATAATAAACAGGATGCAATGAACCGTCTTCTGGGTCTCTCTGCAGTAAGATTGCCCCATAACCAAAACTTGACGCATCTGTGTGTAGTTCCGTCTCGGCAGTGTGTTGGTATAGTTTCAAGACTGGTTGATTGCTTAACACAGATTTTAGTTTACCAAATGCGTCTTGTTCGGCTTTGCCAAAAGAGAATTAGAGTCCTTGCGTAGCAGATTAGTCAGCGGTCTAGCAAGCAATGCAAAATTTGGTACAAACTT